TTCTCAACAGAGGGAGAGAGACAGCGAGAGAGGGAACACAAGCAGGGGGAGTGGGAGAGGGAGAAGCAGGCTTCCCGCTGAGCACGGAGCCCGATGTGGGACTCGATTCCAGGACCCTGGGATCATGATCTGAGCTGAAGGCAGACGCTTAATTACCGAGCCACCCAGGCGCCCTAGTTAATTTCTATCATTCCGAATTACCTGGGTTGTGTAGCCCTTAAAACTCTCACGTGCTCCAGCACAGAACAGATTTTCAATAGATTTTCAATCAGCCGCTGGATGACTTCAGGACAAAGCAGCTAAGGGCAGAGAGGCAGAGAGGGAACACGGCCTCTGGAGCTAGACCCGAACTGAATGTTAACTAAACGAACTAGTCTGCTCCGGCAAGTCACTGATAGCTTACTTCGAGCCTCAGATGAACTCCTTTGTCAAGTGGGAAGTCCACTGCCCAAGTCCACCGTGGAGCAGGAGGCCTGACGCTGGACATCCGCAGAGCCAGCCTCCTCCTCCTTGCGTGCGGGGCCAGCGGTTTTGATTTGCATTTCCCTGATGCTTAGTGAGGCAGAGCCCCTTCCGTGTGCCTGCTGGCCAACTGTTTGTCTTCTTTGGGAAAATGTCCATCCAGATCCTCTGCCCATTTTTGAATCACATTGTTTGGCTTTTTGCTATGGAGTTTTATGAGTTCTTCATATATTTGGGATCTTAATCCCTTACTGGAGATACGATTTGCAAATATTTTCTCCCATTCAGTAGGTTACCTTTTCATTTGTTGGTGGTTTCCTGTTCTACAGAAGCTTGTTAGTGTGATGGGGTCCCACTTGTTCGCTTTCACTGTTGTTGCCTCTGTTTTGGGTGTGAAACCCATAAAGTCATCACCAAGACTGATGTCCTATGCTTTTAATCTCAGGTCTTTAATCCATTTTTTTTAAAGATTTTATTTATTTATTTGAGAGAGAGAGAGAGAGAGCACAAGCAGGGGGAGCTGCAGATGGAGAGGGAGAAGCAGACTCCCCGCTAAGCAGGGAGGCTGACACGGGGTTCCATCTCAGGACCCCAAGATCATGACCTGAGCCAAAGTCAGACACTTAACCGACTAGCCACCCAGGCACCCCTTTTTAATCCATCCTGGGTTAATTTTTGTTTGTGGTATGAGATTGGGGTCCAGTCTCATTCTTTTGCATGTGGCTGTCCAGTTTTTCCAACATCGTCTATTGACGAGACCACCCTTCCCCCATGTGTATTCTTGGCTCCTTGGTCATAAATTGATTGACCGTAGTGCTTGGGTTATTTCCGGGCTCTCTCTTCTGTCCCATTGATGTGTGTCTGGTTCATACCAGTGCCGTTCTGCTTTGATTACTATAGTTTTGTGATATCGTTTAAATCAGGAAGCCCGATGCCTGCAGCTTTGTTCTTTCTCAAGATCGTTTTGGCTATTCTGAGTCTTTGGGATTACATACACATTTTAGAATTGTCTGTTCTATTTCTGTGAAAAGTGCCATTGGAATTTTGATAGGGACTGCATTGAATCTATAGATTGCTTTGGGTAGTACGGACATTCACCCATGATTTCTCATCACGGCCCAACCTGGATGCCCCCTAAACTGCACCCCCCTCTTAGCCTCCACCCCCTGTCACCCCCATCAGAAGACAACTCTCTCCCCTGAGGTCCTGGAGGATGCACATGGCTCTGGGCATGACTGCTTTGAATTGCCAAGTCTCTTCCGTGGTCCTGCCTACCTTACGATGCAAGCTCCTTGAGGGGAGAGGACGGGCTTTGAAATTTGGTGTGTGGACTGTATCATGTCCCCTCAAAACTCATTCGTTAAAGACCTAACCCCCGGGGCGCCTGGGTGGCTCAGTCGTTAAGCGTCTGCCTTCGGCTCAGGTCATGATCTCAGGGTCCTGGGATCGAGCCCTGCATCGGGCTCCCTGCTCCGCAGGAAGCCTGCTTCTCCCTCTCCCCCTCCCCCTGCTTGTGTTCCCCTCTCGCTGTGTCTCTCTCTGTCAAATAAATAAATAAAATCTTTAAAAAAAAAAAAAAAAGACCTAACCCCCAATGTTACTGAATGGAGAGATAGGGTCTTTAAAGAAGTAATTAAGGTGGGACACTTGGGTGGCTCAGTCGGTTGAGCATCTGCCTTCCATCAGGTCATGATCCCAGGGTCCTGGGATCGAGTCTTGAATCAAGGTCCTTGCTCCGTGGGGAGTCTGCTTCTCCCTCTGTCTGCCGCTCCCCCTGCTTGTGCTCTCTCTCTCTCATTCTGACAAGTAAAATCTTAAAAAAAAAAAAGTAATTAAGGTTAAATGGGGTCATAAGGGTGGGGTCCTGATTGGCTAGGACGGGAGTCCTTGTAAGAAGAGGAAGGGACACCTGGGATATCCCCCAGCCCGCGCTGCACGAGCACAGAGGAAGGGCCGTGCGAGGACACAGCAAGAAGGCACCCATCTGCAAACCAAGACGAGAGTTCTCACCAGAAACCAACCCTGCTGACACCTTGACCTTGGAATTCCAGACTCCAGAACAGTGAGAAAACAAATTTCTGTTGTTGATGCCCCACCCCACCCCACCCCGGTCTGTGATATTTCATTATGGCAGCTCAGAGTAATACATGTGGGGCCTCAGGGAAAGCATCCTGGGCTGGGGCGGGGGGGGTCACACAAACCGTCTAGCACGCACCTGATCCCTGCCCAGCAGTGTGCAGGGCTGAGGGGCCCCCGACCCCGGCCTCCACAAGCCCAGCCAGAGGGGAGACCTGCAGTGTGGACCTTGCCCCAGCCGTGAGGGAACAGTGGTTAACGGTGCCCCTCACAGAGCCAGGAGCCGGCAGCAAAGAAGGGACCGCACCTGAGCCCTCCTCTTCGTCGGACAGACCCTCTGCTGGCTCGGCACCCACCTAGTGCTGGAATGCCAAGAGGTGTTCTTGCCCCATTTTCCAGAGGGCCACCTGAAGCTTGGAGGGATGGAGCAATTGCCCAGGCTGAAGCCCGGCACGAGGCAGAGGGGACGGTCACAGCCTCAGAGAGACTAAGGCTCTCCCCACACCCCCCATCCGACAGAGGTCGAGGCCCACACACGAGGCTCCAGCTGCTGGGGCTGTGGGCCTGGGCCAGGCCTCCAGACCAAGAGCGTGGGGGTAATTCCATTTGAAAGGTGGAAACTGCTTCTGCTGCAGGGCTTCCGGAAGCCGGCCGGGCGAGCAGGACCGGCCACGGAGCACCAGCCACAGAGGCCCGGCGTCCGACGGGCTGCCACGGTACAGCGAGGTGTTTGGGGAGGATGTTGAGGGCACCTCTCGGTCTTGTCGCCAACCCCTGGGGGCGGGGGCCAGGTTAAGGCGACAGTGTTTCAGGAAGAGGGAGTGGGCAGCTGTGGGGAGGTAAGGCCCTGGCATGTGGGTGGTGACGGTGGGGAAAGCGCTCCCCTGCCCGGGGCTGGTGGGCAGGTGGCTCTTCGGGCTGCAAGCCAGGTGTCCAGACTCCTTCCTGGGCCCAGGGCAGCAGATAACCCAGCTGCGGGGACCACTGCTGCAGCCTCTAAGCCAGCCCGGCCCCAGCCCCGCATTCCCCTGCAGCTGCCGGTTCCTTCTTACACACATTTGCCACGCTGCTGCCTCTTCTAGAAACACCTTTGTCCGCCTTCTTCCACGCTGCTCGCCCGCCACAACTCCGCTCAGTCTCCTTCTCTGACGTCCCAACGCCCCATGCACACATGCACGCCAGGCCAGCCCGGCTCCCACAGCGCCAGCCGCACCACTGTGTCTCACAAGCAAGATCTGTTGGCAGGCGCAGCTACCCCCCCCTGCCCCCCCGCATCTTGAAGCAAGACCCTTTTGCTCTCTGGGTTCTTGGCACCAGGAGCAGTGCCTGGCACTTAGTCCTGGATTGTTGGCTTAAATCACAGTGAAATTAGTAAAGGAAGATCTAGTTTCTAATCCCAACTTCTGAGACACTGAAACACGTGGCCACAGCACTTAACTTCTCTGAGCTTCAGTGTACCCTTCTGGGAAATGGGGGTAATGTTCCCTGTCCTTCATTGGCGAGCATCAAATGAGAGCAATGGGATTGGTCTCTGGTGTGGCAGGAGGTATAAGCACACTGTTACTTTAAGAAGTCAGCATCGGGCGCCGGGGTGGCTCAGATGGTTGGGCGTCTGCCTTCGGCTCAGGTCATGGTCCCAGGGTCCTGGGATCGAGTCCCGCATCGGGCTCCCTGCTCCGCGGGAGCCTGCTTCTCCCTCTGCCTCTCTCTCTCTCTCTCTCTGTCTCTCATGAATAAATAAATAAAATCTTAAAAAAAAAAAGTCAGCATCGATGTTCCAATAACTGCTAATAATGTTGCTTCTGATCACCACCTGCTTCCCCCAGGACGGTCCCTCCCTCCCCCAGGATTGCTGGGTTTTGCCCTAACCCAGCTTCATTATCTGCTGGAAGGTGAAGCCAGTCCCCCTCCCTCCCACCCCCTTATCTCACAGATTTGTATGACCTCAAAAAGTCCTTCCAGAGGTGTGCCCCACATCCTTCCTGTTGCAGCCCTGCCCCCTTCACTCCTCATGTGTCCTAAGAGCATAATCCTGCGTAGGAATCTCCCAGGAGCCCGAAGCCCAGGCACCATACTAGGGCTTATCCTTTTGAGTTTGACATCCCCATTGCTACTGCTCTGAACCGAAGCTGAGGGAGAGACAGGGAGGGAGGCAGAGAGAGAAAAGGGAGTCCCGGTCTGGAGCGAGGGAGTGGAGGGAGAAACAGGAGGGATCGAGGTCAGAGGGCAGTTAGGACTTCCCAAAACCCAGACACAGAATGATACAAATACCCACCACCGCACCACCACGACCTTCAGCTGCCTGGCTTCCGGGGGAGGGATAAGTGTCTTACGGCTTTCCATGACGTGGGTCCTCGGCCAGGGCTAGGGCTGTGGGGAAGGCGACATTTCCTGCCCTTGGGGGCCGGGGGGAGAGAGATGAGTTGCTGAGTGTGCACATCTTTTCAGAGCACGTACACACACCCTTACACACCCCCTGCTCTGGGGCTCTGTTCTCAGGCCGGCCCATGGAGCTCCCCCTGGCCCAGATATGCCCCCAAGGTAAGTGTGAGGTTGGAGACTGTGGGTGGAGGGACATCCAGACCCCCATTACCCCTGCTGTCCCACTTCAGGGGTGAAGGGCCCCACCCCGAGCCAGGGCTGGCAGAGCTGACTGGCGGGGTGCCCAGAGCTCCTTCTCCTTCTCTGGGGCGCCAGTCCACTCAGCCCCGGGGACATATGCGGGACACAGGCGGCTGGGTCTGCAGAGTGCTCCTTAGAGAGGAAGGAGCAGGAGAACAAGGCCCGGGAGGCAGAGGATCTTGGCCATAAACAGAGATCACGCCACCCCCCCCCACTCCGCACCCCTCGCTGTGGGACTCTCTGCTCCCCCACACCCTGCCTCCCTGGCCAGCCAGGGCCTCCTCAGCTCCTTACTCCTCCCCCGCGAGAGACGCCCTGGGGTCCCACCTGCATTTCTCCTCTTGTGACTGTCCCTGTCCTCCAGGTCCCTGGTCAGAGGCATGCGGGGCCCCTGGGAGCCTGGAGGAGGGGCAGTCCCTCCCCGAGAAACCCCAGCTGTCCTCTTTGTGCTAATAGGAAGCGGCCGAGCCCCTGCCCCTACCTTCAGCACCTTCCAGCCCGTGGAACTGCCCTGCAGGACCTGCCAGGACGTGGGCCTGCTTCAGGGGCCCAGACTCCAGGCCCTGAAGGCTGAGGAGGCCCAGCCCAGCCCCAGAGTCGAAGCTGTCCATGCTGCGGCAGGTGGGAACTCGGCTGGCGCAGCGTCCTCCTTGGCTCCCATCCCCCCACCGGTGAGGACGTGCAGATGGACCAAGGCCAACGGGGAGAAAGCAGGAATAATCTGGGGCTGCCAACAGGGCTAGGGCATGGATGGAGAGAGGGAAAGGAGATGGGGAGTATCTCCTTCCTTCACTATAGTGTCCCCTCACTGTCCCTGGGACGCTGGGGCTGAGTCCGCAGGTGACCAGGGTACAGGGTACCGAGTCCCAGAAGCAGGCATCTGCATCTCCATCCGTGGCCTCCACCTGCCCAGTGCATCCAGGCCTCAGTCCCTCTCACCCAGCAGTCCATTAGGAAGTCCTCCCTAGGATCCAGCCCAGCCCCTCCTACGGGAGGGTGAGTCCTCCCTCGTTCTGTCCTCTGGGGTGACAGGCAGCATCATGTCCCTCGTCCTGCAGGCCAGGGAATGATTTCCTCTCTTTCTGGAAGGCCTCACACTCATTGAAGCTCAGGTTAGGAGCTTACTGCTCCTGGGTTAAAAAGGCCCTCAGGCCCAGAGAGAAGTGGACAGAAATCCCCTGGAAACCAAAGCAGGTGGAGCTGAAGAAGGGGATTTAAGCTGGACCCTGAGAGGCACTTTCTGGGCAGTTATGGCCTAAAATGGGCAACTGGGATGGGGAGCAGGGGTGAGGCTGAGGAGGCGGCAGTGGGATGGCATCAGGAGGAAGCCCATGAATCATGGTTATTTCCCCCTCCTTGAACTTTTCCCCTGTTCCAGGCATCTCCTCAACTCCCAGGGGCTGCTTCCGGCCCAGAGGATGCTGGGAAGGCCGAGGAGGGGCTTGAGGAAGGAGGCCAGTCCCTGCAGGCCGAGACCCGGGCTTGGTTCCAGAAGACCCAGGCCCACTGGCTTCTGCAGCATGGGGCAGCCCCTGCCTGGTTCCACGGCTTCATCACCCGGAGGTGAGTCACAGCGGCAGAAAGGGGCCCAGAGAGGGGCCGGGCAAGTCCTGGGTCCTGGGCCCAGCAGCAGTGCGTGCAGGCTGCAAGTCCAGCCCTGAGTCCTGGAGGTTCCCAGGCCAATCTCTGAGGCATCTGTCCTGGGGGAGGTCCGTGCAGAGGCTGCAGCCCGCTCGCTCTGGGGCCTCCGCTTCCATTCCTGTCTCTTGGCCTCCAGTCCTCATGGTTTCTCCGGTCTACCACCATCCTTGTCTCCCTGCTAGGCCATCCCTCCCGCCACATTTCTCAGCTTTGCTTTCCTCTTCCCCAGCCTGTAGTCAATTACCACCCCAGGGTACCCCCACCAGGCTGCCCTCCAGGATGAGGCCACAGGAGGATGCAGGGCTGGGAGCTCTCCTGGGTGGGACCCCTGGCCCCGTGCTCTCCAGTCCCTGCGCAGACTGGACCCACATTCTCTCTGCCATCCCCACCCTCCTCCGACACCTGAACCTGCTTGGTTGGGGGCTGGGGTCCGCCGGAGAGCCGGGGACAGGCCCGAGGCTGGAAGAGTCTTCTCCATCGCCCACAGGGAGGCCGAGAGGCTGCTGGAGCCCAAGCCTGAGGGATGCTACTTGGTGCGGTTCAGCGAGAGCGCTGTGACCTTCGTGCTGACCTACAGGTGAGGGGCGGGAGCCCGGAGGCGGAGCTTCGGCCCCGGGGCGGGGTGGGCTGGGTGCTCCTGACGCGGGAGGGGCAGGGGCCGGCTGGGAGGGAGGGCCTGGCACGGCGTGCGGCTCTGATGCGACGGGCGCCCTCCAGGAGCCGGACTCGCTGCCGCCACTTCCTGCTGGCCCAGCTCCGGGACGGGCGCCACGTGGTGCTGGGCGAGCACAGCGCCCACGCGCGGCTGCAGGACCTGCTGCGACACTACACGGCGTGCCCGCTCGGCCCCTACGGGGAGACGCTCACCGAGCCCCTCGTCCGCCAGGTACGCCCGGACCCCGGTACGCTGGGACCCCGGCCGCAGGAGCCACCTTCTCATCCCGGCCTGCGACCCAGCCATAGGTCCCTCGTCAAGCCTTGTTGCATTTTTACAACCACAGGCACAAATGGAGACTGGCCTGGCCTGTGTTCCGGGTGGAATTAAGGTCAATGCTAGACACAGCCTGTGACCAGAGCTACTACCCCCACCACCACCCCCGTTGGTCCCCTTGCCATCTCCATCCCCTGTTCCTCACCCAGGGAACCCCACCAGTTCCACATTTCTGTGCCCCTCCCCCACACATCCTCCACCAGCACCAGCTTGCTTTGTCCTCCTGGATCCCCTGGCCACCCCACCCACCATCCCACTGCACCAAATCCCTGAGGCCTCGTTCCTTCCCAGCAGACGCCTGAGCCTGCAGGACTTTCCCTGAGCACTGAAATGTCAGACTCTGGAAACAAGGACCCACACCCTCACTATAGCCGGACCATCAAGAAGTCGCAGAACGTGACCCCCACGCCGAAGGCGGGGCCCGGGGAACAGAAGGAGGTATTGGGCTGCAGGGGCTGAGAGAGGGGAAGAGGGTGCGGCAAAGGGAGGGTCCAGCGCTGGGGCGGGGCCTGCGGGAGGGGAGGGGCCGCGGGACGTGGGCGGGGCCCCGGGGCTGCAGCCTCCGCCCAGCCTGGGTCGCTCTGACGCCCCCTTCTCCCCCGGCCTGGCCTTCTCACCCTGTCTCCCCAGCCGCCCAGGCCCAAGCCTCCCGTGCCCGCCAAGCCTCAGCTGCCCCCCGAAGTCTACGCGAGCCCGGCCCCGAGGCCGCGCCCGGCCCCGCCCCCCAAGCCCTCCAATCCCATCTACCAGGAGCCTGACGAACCCATCGCCTTCTATGCCATGGGGCGGGGCAGCCCCGGGGAAGCCCCCAGCAACGTCTACGCCGAGGTGGAGGTGCCGCCGGGCGCTGGGGGCCAGCCCTGCGGCCTCGGGCACCTGGCCCTGCGCAGGTGCAGGTCCAGGCCCGTCGCGGGAGGCCAGGTAAAGCGGCGCAGGGAGCAGGCGGGCCGCTGGGAGGAGGTCCTGAAAGCCAGATTATTGGGGTGCTCAGCGAAGGTGTTCAGAGTGGATGCCAGGGTCAGGGTGAGGGTCAGAGGTCTGAGGCCGCATGGGAAAGACGGAGGCTCGGTCCGCCAGTAGCCCTTTCCCCAGCCCAGAAGTGGCTCCCTGTCATCTCCCTGCAGTCTCGGGACCGGTCTCCCCTTGGTCAACCCCCTCCACTTCTCAGAGGAAATAGTGGCCCAGGCATGGGCCTCGCCCCCCCTCCCCAGGGGAGCCTGCATTTTTGTCCCTGTCCCTCTCACCCAGTCCCGGCCACCTGTATCCCATCCTGTGCCACCATCTTGGCTCCAACCATCATCCTGTCTTCCTGATTGGAACTTGCGCCTCTTCCGCTCTGGCTCCCTCCCCTCCGCCTTCAAGGCCCACCATCCTGAGGAAGAAGAGCCCTTGGAGTCCCTCGTGTCATCTCAGATGAGCTCAGGGGAGGGGGCACCTGCACACCTGCTCCTCCTCACACTGCCCCCTCCCACTTCCACCCCCCCCCACCTCCCCTGTCCTCTGATCCTGTGAGTCAGTGTCCCAGTCCAGGGCTGCGCTGGACCTCCCGGGCACTCCCACCCTCTCCCTGGGCCTCTGCCCCCCTCCGCAGGCCCTTCCCCACCCTCCCTGCGATGCCCCAGGCCTGCCTCAGCCCCTGAGCCTGTACCCCCACCCCCACCCCCTGCTGCAGCGCTAGAGATGAGCCAGCAGCCCACCCCTGTCCGTGCCCACTGTCCTCCAGGCTCCCGCTCAGCCCCCAGCGCCCCACAGCCTCCTGAACTCCACACAGCAACCCGCTCTCACCCTTCTCCCCAGACTGCCCCTCCTCTATCTCCCAGCCGGACTGATGACTCTCCAGCCACCTGACTGTCCAAGCTAGAAGCCCCAGGGCTCCTCGACATCCCCTCCCCATCCCGACTCCTCATAGGCCCCGATTCCTGCTGGGTCCCTTTCCCTGGTGTCAGCCTCATCATCCCTCATCAGGATTTCCCAAGAGCTTCTTAACTGGTCTAACCACCAGTCTTTCCACTTCTGATCCACTCTGCCCCAAGGAAGCTAGATGGTCTTTCTAAAACAGCTACCTGGCCCACGCGGCCGTCCACAGTGGTGGAGGCAGAGGACCACCTCCGCAGCTGCTCCATTCTCCCAGAGCTGTTCACGTCTCTCTGAGCACACCCTCCCGCTGCCCGGTGACCTTCTAGTCATCCTTCAAGACCAGCTTGCCCTTCTCCCTGCAGACTTCCCAACACAACCACAGAGGCCATCCACTGCGCTTTATACACACCTGCTGCGCCACTGATCACCTGGGACCTCTCTCCCCTCTTCCCCCGCAGAGTGCAAGCTGCCTGAGAGCAGGGGCTGGGACGTATTCACCTGTCTCCAGAGCACCCTGGCACAGAGCAGGTGCTCAGGAAATGGTTGCTGAATGAATGAGAGCGGTTTAGACCTCCTCTGTGCAGGCCAACCTCCGTTAAGACCAGAGGACAGCCCCTGAGGCTGCAGGTAGGCCTGAGAGGCAGAGGGCAGAGGATGTGACCTCGGATCATCCTTCTCTCTGCAGAATTCAGGTGGCCGGCAACCGCACTCTGAGAACTCTGTGCCTGGACAAGGCCCTCCCATGCCCCACCAGCCCCTGCCCAGCTGGGGGCACACCCTCCCCCACAAGCTTTCTAGACAGAGGACAGAGGACAAAGGACAGGCGTGGCTTCCCCTGGGGCCTCCTCAGGAACCCGGTGAGTCTGAGCTGGGGGAGGATAGCCCAGGATACCGGGTCCGCAGACCTTTGCACACCAGGCACCCTTCTCAGGAAATGTGTGGAACAAACCGTAGGCGATCAGAGCTAGCACGGACCTCGGCCGTCACCTGTTGCGAAGATAGCGCAAAGGTGTCATCTTGCATGCCAACTGCCATCCATTGGTCGTGGCTGCCTGGAGCACTGCCCTGGGAAGGATGCTCAGTCATCTCCGCACTCAGCAGAAAAGAGCACCATGATTGATTAGTGATGTCTGCTGTGGGCAGGGAGGCAAAAGGAGCAGTGTCTCCCATGCCCTTACTGATCCAGGCCAAGTCCCTGGCGGTGCAGATAAGGAGACAAAGCCAGAGAGGGGTAGTGACTCGGCCAAAGCCAAGGACTAGAACCCAGGCTTCGTCGTTCCCGTGTGGCACTCTCTTACCCCGCATCCTCCTCTCCACAGGAAATGTCAGAGATTTCCTCAGATAGGCAATCTGGCTACTTTCCAGAGTTCCACAGCACGGAAGTCTGGGTGCCGTTTCCCTCCTCCAGATCCCAGCTTAGCCCTGTTTCCTGGACAGGTCTGGCCCCTCTCCCCGAAAGAAGCCTGGAGTTCGAGGAGCAAAGGTGGACTCGGCTCCCTTTTAGGGACACACGCACTGGTTCCGTTCCGGGAGTCCCCGAGAATCCGGGGGCTCAGTGATCCAAGGGCCTCTGAGGAAGTGTGCTAGGACAGCCCTGCTGCCTCCTACTGCCCTGGCTTCTCCTCCCAGAGTCTGATTTCCTTGGCCCTCTTGAGCCTTTGGGTCTGGGCCATGGTCCAATGCTGCTGTTGTCTGAGGAAGGGTTTGGCGAGAACAGATGTTAGAACTTGTTTGTTGATTCTTGTCTGGCTAATAAATCATCGCCAACCACCTCTCCCCACAGGGATCCAAGTACTCCAGCCTCCTTCTGTCTGTCTCACACACTCTCTCTCTTTCTCCTATCGTGGAAGGTAAGGGGTTGAAATGCCACTGCAGTGAGGGGAGCAGGTCCGGGGGTTCCGAGATACCTGGGCAAGGGTCACAAATCTGGGGGCTGGGGGGCTGCAAGGCAAGGAACCGCAAAGTCTCTCTTGGCTGGGCTGGGCAGGTAGCCAGGGGCAGAGGGGTGGCTGCATCACCTGGGGGACGCCAGGAAAGAAAGAGGGGCAGGGAGGAGAGTGGTTGAGGGGTAGGCCCTGCACCCCCTTCCCCAACTCCCCTACCAGTACAGGACTGGGGGGCCTCCCGCAGTGGCTGAGAATCTGTCTTCCCAGCCTCTCGGGCTTTGGCCTTGCCCAATTAAGGACCCCATTCCTCCCCTGTCCCTCTTGTGAGGCTTCTTCCCCTCCCTACCCAGACCCACTTCAGGACCTGCCACCTGCCCTGGGCAAAGCTCTGGGCTTCGACCCCCTGGAGGAATCTGCCTTGGGGCTTGTTCTTCTCTCAGACTGGGGCTCTCTGAGCCTGGGCCACGGTGTGCCCCCCAGGAGCTGCTCGAGGCTCTGGGTGCCCCTGTGGTCCCATCGGCGCAGCCAGTCCTTATACTCTGTCCCACGAGAGCCCAGTCAAGACAGTCCGGTCGGAGCCCCCCCTCCTGCCAAGGGGGCCCAGAGCCTGCTGAGGCACAGAAATCCCACAGACCCTCCCCTGAAGAGGCGCTCCCCAGGCTGAGGTGCTACGGGCGGCGGCCACGCCACCCCCAGCCTGGCAGCGGCACCAGCCCCCGTGCCTAGTGCCTACCCCCCCCGCCGCCCCGGCTTCCCAGCCCATGCTCATCGGCTGAAGGAGAGCTTCGGCTGCTGAGTCAACAGTCGGGGTTCCACTCCCTTCTGTCTGCAGGCCTCCTGAGCAAGAGGAGAGATGGGGAGCGAGTCGGACGGGAGGGGAGGGCAGGGGAGCAGGAGGCTGTCTCAGAGCAGACTGGGGGGGCGCTCCTGCGGGGATGGAGGGGGCAGAACAAGAGGCTTACTGTCAGAGCTGGAAGGCAGGGTCTGAAAACGGCATTTCCTTACACCTGGGGATACAATGGGCCGGTGCAGGGAGGGGGCAGAAATGCCTAGTGACCCCCGTTGGTGTTTCTGAAGGAGCAAAGGGGGGGCAGCAAAGCTCTCCCTCCCTCGGCAGCGCCTCATGCCTAGGGGTTGGCTCGCCCAAGGGGTGCTGGGAGAATCGGGAGGTGGCATCAGCCAGAAGCCTGGGTGCTGTCGTGGCGTGGTGCTGGCTAGTGGCATGGCGGCCCTTCCCCTGCCCACTGGCCCCCTCGGAGCGCCTCCTTGCTTGCACACGGGGCGGCTGGACAGTCAGTGAGGGGCTCAGGGAAGCAGGACTGCTGGGGCTCCAGGGCACGGCGGACCCTTTGTGGCTGCTTTTCTTTTGGGTTCCACCAAATAGGAAACTGAGGTCTGCAGAGGGGAGGTGACCGGGAGCTGGAGGCAGTCAGGCCCACATTGGGTCAGCCCAATCCCGTGCTCCCCAGGTACCAGGGGCCCCTCCCAGGCCAAAGGATAAGACTCCCGGTCCTCTCAGGGCCTCCAGCTGCAGGCCCAGCCCCCAAGACCCGGGTGGGGGAAGTTTCCCCTGCTCACCTCACCCACCAGGACCCCTGCATCATCCCACCCACTCCATTCCCGAGCTGCGGCGGGGCGCTGCGGGGGGCCGCCGAGCCGGGTTGCTGGGGGGGGCGCTGAGCCGGGGTGCTGCGGGGGTCCGCTGAGCCAGGACACTGCGAGGGTCCGCTGAGCCCGGGCGCTGAGGGGGTCCGCTGAGCAGG